ACGAGTTCGTGAGGCCCAGCAAATTCCGTTTTATGGAATCCATATACACGGTGAAGGAACTCCTTTCACCTGGGGTGTTCATGGCCTCGATAGATCTGCAAGACGCATACCTACATGTCCCGATAAGAGAGAAGATTCCAGGAGATTCTGAGGTTTGCGCTGGGAGGATAAAAGGGTTTCGGTTGCTATTTCAGTTTCAACACACTACCCTTCGGCCTGTTGTCGGCCCCGAGGATATTCACCAAGATTTTAGCGGAGCCTTTAAGAGTTTTGAGACTGGAAGGGATAAACATTATCCCCTATTTGAGACGACCTGCTTGTATTTGCGGACACAGAGAGGAGGCCGAGCCTGAGATCGCACATCGAACGTTACGGATATCTTTTCTGGAAAGTTTGGGGGGTGGCTTATCAAACAAGGAGAAGTCACAGCTAACCCCTCCAAGAGGATTACGTACTTGGGGTACGTCCTGGACTCCGCACAGGCCCGATCGTACCTAACATCAGAAAAAGCCCTCAACCTGCGGCAGGACACAAGGGCCCTCCGGAGGATGGTTGACCTGCGCGGTCAGGACCGCGATGAAATAATATCGGGCGGATGACAGCGGCAATACCAGGGGTGCAATGGGCAGCAACTTCACTCCAGGGTGCTGCAAAATCACACCCTTTCCCACTGGGACGGCAAGACAGCCGAGCAGTGTCTGAGTCCAGGATCCGCATCACGGCACAGCGAAGTGAAGGACATCGCCTGCTTATAAGGTGAAGGAATCGTCTAAGGTGGTGGGGAAGCAGACCTTGCCTCACCTTGGAACAAGGAAAGAAGTTGGAGGCTGGCCAAACCCACTGCGGAATCACCACGGATGCAAGCATGACTGGTTGGGGCGCCCATATTGAAGGACGGCCTGGCCCAGGGCACAGTGGAGTGCAGTAGACTTCCAGCAGGTCAGTCAAATTACAGGAGCTGTTGGCAGTTTTCAAGGCACTTACGGACCTTTCAGGAAAAAGATAAGGGGGAGAGGTGGTCCAGATTCTCTCCGACAATACCACTGCTGTGGGTATTTGAACAGGCAGGGACGGCACAAGGTACCCACCCCAAGGCTGATGGAGTTGGCGGATCCCTCCTGAGCTGGGCGGAGGAAAACCTGGAGTTCATCACGGCAGTACATCTGAAGGGGACCTGAACCAGTTGGCGCGATCAACTGAGCCGAAGAGAAGAGGGTCATCCAGGACAGAATGGTGCCTCAGCCAGTCAGCGTTTTATTTCGATCAGATTTGCGCCAGGTGGTGGGCTCTCCCTCTATCGATCTATTTGCCAACGGCCAGCAACACAAAGCGGGAAAAGGTACTTCTGCCGTGCAGAAAGGACCCCAAAAGCGTGGGGGGATACGGGGGGGGGGGGAATATGCGCTAGGCCAGCAGTGGGAAGGAGACCTCCTTTATGCCTTCCCTCCATTCAGACTACTGCAGAAGGTGATTCAGAAGATCCGGGTGTCTCACAAGCCAAAGTTATTCTGATCGCGCCATTCTGGCCCAAGAGATCTTGGTTCTCCCAGGGTTGAAGGAGCTCAGTTTAGCAGACACCTCTGGATGATACCAGCCCACAGCGCGATTTACTCAACCAAGGGAGGGTTGATGCATCCTCATCCAGAGGAAAGGCTGTCCTTAGCGGCGTGGTCTTCTGCGGGACAGGCTAGCGGAAAAAGGGGCTCTCAGGCAAGAGTGGTCGCCACCCTTTTGGATGGCCGGAAGAGGTCGCTAGCGAACGACTTGTACGACAAGGTCTGGAAGAAGTTTTCCGCCTGGAAGGTCAGTAACGAAGCACCGGGCAACGCCCATTTTGCATACAGTTCTTGAATTCCTTCAAGCCGGGCGGGATAAAGAGTTCTGGACGCCAATACCCTCAAAGTAACAGGTAGCGGCTCTGTCGAACTTTCTCGAGCTGAGGTTGGCGGCAGAACCATTAGTAATCAGATTCCTGAGGGCTTATCTCCAGGCGCCGTTGCCCCGACCTTGCCAAAAACTTTCCATCATGGGACGCTGGGCACAGTCCTGAAGAGCTTTCAGCAGGGGGCCTTTCGAACCGCTGGATGAATGTTCGCTCAGATCTTTGACTCTTAAAACCATCCTCCTCACGGCACTAGTTTCTGCCCGCAGGGTCAGCGAGTTGCATGCCCTTTCAGTGATCGAGCCGTTACTGCACCATCTTATTGGATAGAGTCATCCTCCGCACGGACGCGGCCTTCCTACCTAAGGTCGCCGTCACACTTCCATAGATCTCAGGAAATAGTAATACCTTCCCTGGAGGCCGATCCGGGCAGCGCGGAGGACTGTAGCAGGTTAGACGTAAGACGGTGTTTGATCACGTACATCGAAAACGCACCAAAGACATGGAGACGCTCGTCCCGGCTTTCATCCTATTCCAGGGACCAAGGAAGGGGGACGGTGCCTCCAAGGGCACCATCGCCAGATGGATCAGAGAGGCAGTTTCGGAAGGTTACAAGTCGGCAGGCCCTGTCACCACCGCCCGGCCTAAAGCCCACTCCACAAGGGCCACTGCGGCCTCCTGGGCCGGAAAAAAAAGGGGGGGCCTCCCCCGGACAGATCTGCAGAGCCGCGACGTGGTCCAGTTTCGCCACCTTCACTAAGCATTACAGGCTGGATCTGATCGGCAGCAAGGACCAGGCATTTGGCGCAGGAAGGTCCTACAAGCAGGGTGCCCGCCCTAATGTACGTATTTCTATTCTACTCCTCTCAAGTGAGCTGTCCTAGAAGATGACTCGGGAGAAAAACGCAGTTATTTACCTGTTAACTGTATTTCCAGGAATCTTCTAGGACAGCGTAACTCCCCCCCGATTACTGTTTGATCACACGATTATGTGCAGGTATGTTGCGAACCTATGGGGGATAGCTTTATTACTGGTTGTGTAATGAATCAACTACTGCAATGAACTACTATACAGAATTGAAACTATTTTGCAGAGACATAACTCTGTTGTTTAACAAGTTTATGGGACTGAAACTTTTCACAGATGAGCAACAGATCATTTAAGATAAACAACCTGGAATAATCATAATAATAGTCATAATTAGTTAAATTTTTTTTTCTATGTCTAAAATTAATCATCAGATTGAAAGCACTGTTTTCAAAACGTGTGGCAGTGGGTGTGGGGAAAAGAACCCCCACCCACTGTCACAGGGAGGAGGGATTGGAGGGAGAGGGGGCAGGGAGCTGAAACACGTTACATGTTCCACCCTAAATGTGGGTAGAACATGTAACATGTTCCAATGGTGAATGTAATGTTAAAAAAAATATATATATATTTCCTGGGACTGGTAATATACCCAGTGCCAAACCCTATTAAGGGAGATGTATCAAAAAAAAATAATGTATAAACAACCAACACCACAAGGATAAAGAACCTTGTAGGCTACAAAAAAAGCAATTTCTGCCCCTCCAGAACACACCACGGCCACGCCCCTCCAGAACACACCACGGCCACCCCCCTCCCTCACTTCTGTAAACTGACCCCCTACTCCAAGATCCTGCCGCCCTTCACACCTCCTTTAAGTACTACTAGTTCCCTCTCCCATGAAGAGATGTTAACACACCCTCCCAGAACCGGGGGGTGGAGGCGTCCCGTGCTGAAAGACCCGCTAGAGTCCAACAGTCAGCATGATTTCTATATGTAATTATAAGTTCCAAAGAAATTTGTGCACAGAAGGTAATCTTGCTATACTCTGCACCTGTGATATTGGAGCTGGGTCCCGCTGTATTACGTGAGGGGCAGGTACTGAACCCTCAGCTCTCAATGACGGAGTATGTGTAGCAATGTAGGTAGACACTGTACTGCCCCAATGCTGATTCCTAGTGCAAAAGCCACAGATGTTGATCCTACAGTCTCTCCAAAACTTCACTTCAATAAGAGACCTATCGGGTCCAGCCTACCAATTAGCAAGTCTTCCTTTGTAAGGTAGCTGACTGACCCATGGTATATAGGAAGATCTATATAATAGGATTACACTGCAGGAAGCGCCATGTAAAATAGATAACTGAAGCGATCTCACCACTTCCTCTTCAGTGCACAAGAACTCCTCTCCGCTTGCTAGAATCCTTCATCACGGTCTTAGTAAGCTGTAAGCCAAGCAGTGTCCATTAGTCCTGCTGTCAAGAGGATTATATACTCCAAGCAGGTACTTGCAAGCCGATGTGCACTCCGGCATCCCCGCGGAACAAATTCCTAGGGAGGGAGAACGCTATCTTTTCCGCCTACATGTTTTGCCCCTCCCACTGACGGGGCTTCCTCAGGGCATGAGGAAGCCACACAAAGGATAGCGCTCTGAACCTTCTGTGCATAGACTTCTTTGGACCTTATAATTGCATATAAACAGGTCATTCTGACTACTGGATCCTAAAGGGTCTTTCAGCAAGGGACCCCCACCCCAGGTTCTGGTGGGGTGTTAACATCTTTTCCTGGGAGAGGGAAACTAGTGGTACATGAGGGAGGTGTGAAGGACAGCAGGATCTTGCGCTTCGGAGTGGGGTAGGGGGTCGGTTACAGAAATGAGGGAGGGGGGTGGCTGTGATGTGTTCTGGAGGGTCAGGAGTGGGGGGTATGGGGGTTTTGGATAGATGGACAGGGTTGTGGGTTCTGAGATGTATGTCATTTTTACATTCATTTTCATCAAAATTGCTTTTTTGTAGCCTATGAGGTGCTTTATCCTTGTGGTGTTGGTTGTTTATCCAATGGTGAACTTAGCCTTTAATGTTAAATGAAACCTGGAGATCAACTTTAAAAGGGGCCAATTGTGCTACACTAGGGGCAGAGTCTGTCCCTACATACTCCACACAATTTGTTAAATATCAGCATAAAAACATTTGGATGATGTATGTGTTTAGATACAGGACTCATCGATTTGCATGTTTATAAAATCTTGATATCTAAGACACATTTTTAAAATTTTACAACTAAAAAAATATAAAGATCATATTATTTGAAACTCACCTTCTAAATCATCAAAGCCAAGTACAATGTCTGAGAAATTTCCATGTCTGTCTCTGGTTTCTAAGCAAGTAATTATACAGCCAAAGGATATGATTTCCACCTTGACAAACTCTGACTGAAGATGAAAACCGTTTCACTGTGTGTCCTCCAAGCAGGGACCCATACACATCACTTGTTATGGATGTCATTGCTCTGGCAAACGCAGGCTGCAATTTTAAATAAATATACAAATAAAGAGTTTTTCTGTTTCTATAAATTAGACTTGATGCTAAAGTCAAGTTTCTGTTATAGTTTTTAAAACAGTAGCTCAACACTGGTCAACTAAGGCCTAAGAGTTTATTCTATTAAAGGGCAACATATTCCCTTTCCCACTTTGTGGAAAGCTGTTTGCTGTCTGGTAAGTTTTCCAGAACAGTCACTGGGCCCTGCTGCAAAGTGTCTCTTCATGCTCAATCAGAAAAAGTTCCTGGGGATCTCAATAAACACTCCCAACCAAATTAAATTATTGGAAAATCAGAAACAGTATTTCAACAAAGTGAAGAAAATAAAATGTGACATTATTATGTATATATTGGGATGAGCACGTGGCAAATAAATAAAGGAGAGTAGCAACATAGAACAGCTGCACCTTCTGTATCATCTTCGAACACACCTTATGACAGTGTATAGAACTATATCATGTAAATACAGTGTATACAGACCCTAACACTAACTGCAACATAAATTAGAAAATACTCAGTGTTTTTATTGAACAGTCTAGCTGTAAAAGCATGCCCTCCTGGTGATACAATGAAAATCTTCATTGCCTTCTTCAGATCTTGCCTGTCTGATGTGGGGGTGCAGTAAAAAATGTCAGGGAAGCAGAGGATGGGAGGTCAGCAGTTTGTAGGGCAATATACAGTGAGTTATCAGGGTGGTATACAGGGGTTAGTAGGGCAAACACATAGGTAACCTGCATTGGTGCAGTAAAAGCTTCTTTCTGGTACCTCGACCAAACAGCTCATTTTTGTTCAAGTATCACCATATTGTACTCCTTAAAAACAACCACACCATCTTTTTCCAGAGCAGCCTGTATTTCTTTAGAGGTTTCCTGTGGCTTTTTCTTTGAATCCCGGACAATTTTTCTGTCAGTTATGGCTGCAATCTTTCTTGGTCTACCTGACCATGGCTTGGTATCAAGAGATCCATGAACTTTCCACTTCTTAATAGGTGTTTTAACAGTAATGATTGCCATATTCAAGGCTTTCGACATCTTTTTATGTCCTTTTCCATCTTTATAAAGTTCTATTACCTTGTTACGCAGGACTTTTGACAGTTCTTTTCTGATCCCCATGGCTCAGTATCTAGCCTAGTCAGTGCTTCCACGTAAGAGCTAACAAACTTATTGATTATTTATATACTGACACGAATTGCAATTTTTAAAAAGCCACATATGTGGGACATTAACCTCTAATTGGCATTTTAACTCGTGTGTGTCACCTTGTGTGCCTGTACCAAGGCCAAACATTCCAGGGTATGTAAACTTTTGATCATGGCCATTTGGGTGATTTCTGTTATCATTAGGATTTAAAAAGGAGTCAAACAACTATTTGATAATAAATTGCTTCATATGATCATCATTCTTCAATAAAAGAGCATTTTTTGGCATGATCAGTCATATTTTCAATATCAATGCCAAAATTCCACAATTTCTGCCAGGGTATGCAAACTTTTGAGCACAACTGTATCTTGAATTTTTAACTATGTAATAAAATGTGCATTGATTTTATATATATTTGATCTCTTGGTGGCACATTTAGTCCCATTTTGCCCCCACCTTATTTGGGTGGGAGGTGGTTGTTTTTCTGTTTTCTATTTTAGGGATGGTGCCTATAGTGTAATATATAAGGAAAGGTAGGACAAACTTATATTGTTAAGCTAATGGAAAGCTAGATACTACATAAAAAAAAAAAAAAAAAAAAAAAAAAAAAACACAGCACATTTTTGCACTTTTTTTTTGCACATTTTTTGTGCTAAAAGCTTCAAGCAACACTATGCTCAGTTGTGAAAGGCACAATTCAAAACTATGGGATTTTGGATGTTATGTGTTTGGAAGTTTCAAGCTATAAAACACTCAGGTGTGAAAGGGGCCTTAGGGTTTGTTCACACTTGACTTCTTCCCAAACGCCCCTATAATGACAGGCGTTAGACAGGCGTTTTACAAGCGTTAAAAACGCTCCCCAAATGCCCTATGCAGAGTTTTGAGGCATTTTATAAGCATTAAAACTGCACCACACATGCCTATAAAACTTAATGGTATTAACACCTCGCAAACGCCTGCCAGGCATTTGAGAAGTGTCACCATTGACATGAACTTTGGAGGCTAATGTTGAAAGGCTTCAACTCCTCCTGACTTGACATGAGGCATAGAAAATTTTGACATAGCGCTAATGCTTCAGTGTGAACAGCACTGTGTGCTGCCATGTGTATTATTTTAGTATGCATTTGAGGAGCATTAAAAAAGCCCCTGAAACACCTGCGGGTTCAACAATAGTGTGAACTGAGCCTTAGTGGGTATATGAAAAAGGAAACAGTGTATTTGATGTGAAGAAAGTTATATTCTGTACACTATGTATATTATGACATGTCAGGAATTTATTCCCTTGCAAAAGCAAATCACATTTATTTCAGTATAGTACACACCAAATCTACCAATAACAGGTGTACTAATACTACGAGTAAGAGGTGGCTAAAACATGTCAGAGGTACCTTTCTAGCTGCAAAATATCAACAATCTCAAGGTTACAAGTCCATCTTTTTTTTTTGGCATTTTGATGTAACAATATGGGCATTGGACAGTGGCTAAATGGTTAGCACTTCCGCCTGGCAGTACTAGTGTTGTTGGTGAAACGCGAAGACCCAGCCACGGCACCTCCTGCCTATAAAACACTGTGCCTGCGTGGGTTTCCTCCGGGTACTACAAAGAACAAAACACAGTACCTACGGTAAAATATGGTGGAGTTTCCTCCCACACTCCAAAGACATGAGGCTGGCACTGTAGGTTAACTGAATCCTGTCTAAATTGGCCCTTGTGAAGTATGAATGTGAGCTAGGGACCTTAGATTGTACGCCCCTTGAGGGTGTGGGTTAGGGTGGAGCCCATTTTTGATATATTTGTTCCAATACATACAAAGGGAATAAACATGTGTATAGCAAAACATCTTTGTTGTGAATGTACAATAATATGTGAACCTTTTTTGTGTGAAATACTGCGTAAATTGACGGCTGCTATATAAGTACCTGAAATAAACAAACCATACCAGTGATTTTTATTGAAGTGCTAGCTTGTGTCTATGACAATCAAAACATGGTACCTAAATGACAGAGTCCCCCCATTATGTTAGAGTCCCCAGTCATCACAGAGTCCACCCCATCACATCTATCATCCAGGACGAACTGGACCTATAGCTGCACCCTGGAGGGGAGGCAAATGCCAACAAACCTATTCAACTAATATAATAAATTCTAAACAATTTATAATTGACCAATATTAGGAAAGAAAACAGTTACTGTGTTCCATCAACAGAAAAGTAGGCAGCTAAAGTGGTGTTGAGAAGGAAGTAATACAGAGAAAGTGATAAGACTTCGGTGAAAATGAAGCTTGCTAGTCAGAAAATGCAGATCTGAATAGCTGATAAATGACAGCCTGCTTATTCAGCAATGGGAGCTCTGAGGTGCATATGACATGTGGTTGTCAGGGGTGTATTTACCACAAGGTAAACAAGGCATTTGCCTAAGGTGGCATTTTTCCCTAAACAAGAGATGGCAGAAAAGACACACGTAGCATGGGGACCAGGTGGGATCTGAGAGAGGCTACGGGCTGCTTGATTGCTTTTGCAGAGCCTGATTCTTGTTCCTGGGGATGTCCGGAGCTGTAAAGGTGAGTATCTTCTCTCCCCGCTGGGGGGACGGGGCTTGCCAGTGTATTGGGGGCGGTGGTAGTGGAAAGCTCTCTCGGGTGGGGGTGGGGGCTGGGGTGATGTTGGTCAATGTCAGGCTTTCTTCGTGGGGGAGGGGATTGTTGGTCCCTGTCAAGGTCTCTGCACGGGAGGAGACGATTTTTGTGTTGCTTAGGGCAGCATGAAACTCAAATACATCACTGGTGGTTGGTATATGTGGTATATGGGCTGCATGTATTGTGTATTTGCTGAGTACATTTATCTGCATAGTAGAGTGGGCTAAGAATATTGATGCATATACTGCAGAGTGCTGAGTGCAACAGGGTGCACACTGTGAATTGCTAAGTGTAGGGGGTTGCAATACACACTACAATCTGATTGTATAATCCTTGTACAATCTCATTTACATTTTCCAAAACTAAGTATTATGAGGACAAACCTATACAATCAATTTATATCCAATCACACAGGTCCTTATAATTCATAGTTCTTAGTAGATCTAAAGAAGATTGTACAATCAGATTTTGTAGTGTATGGCCATCTTAACAGAGTGCCTGATAGGATATGCCATGTGTATTAGGCCACCTGCTGTGATGAGCAGAGGGTGACAACATGCTATGTGTGACAAGGTACCTGGTGAAAAATGCTGAGTAAAAGGTGTGACTATTGCAGTGTTCTAACAGTGTGCTAAGTGTAACAGGGAGCTGGATGCAAATTGCTTATGGTAATGGGTGCCTCCTGAAAAGTGCTGAGTTTAACAGGGTGCATGACACAGTTCAGATTGTAATGGGAAGCTTGCCGTAAAGTACTTAGTGTAATGGGGAGCATGCTGCAAAATGCACAGTGTAATGGGTGCATCCTGCAAAGCCTAATTGTAATGGGGTGTATGCTGCAGACTGTATTGGGGTGCATGCTGCAAAGTGCAGAGTGTAACAGGATGTGTGCTGCAAAGTGCTTAGTGTACATTGTAGCATGCTACCCAATTACACTGAGTGTATCAAACTGTTTCCTGTAAAATGATGAGTGTAATATAATACGCCCCCTCTTCTTATCATATTACTATCCTTTGTTCCCAAATCTCATTTCTTTACCCCTCTGCTCCACTCCAAAACTTGTACATCTCCCCCTCATTGTTATCATCTCCCTACTACTGCTCTCATCACCTCCCCAAAATGCCTCTTCCACTCCTCCTTCTCATTTTCCTCTCCTCCGTTCCCAAAATCCATTCACTATATCCCTCTGCTCCTCCCAAACATTTGTATATTGTG